TCAGTAGAAGACTGTGTACTAACACTTGTAAGTTCATTGCTTTGATCCAAAGCACAATAGGAAAAACAAATACACTGTTGGTTAAACAGTGATTATACTATAAAAATGTGAACCAGAATGCCTCATATCAGCTATCACCCAGTGTTAATGAGCACCTGCTGGAATAAATGACTGATCACCTTGTTTGTGTTATTACTCTCTTATAGGATCCTTGGACTTGCAGTAAGTAGAGAATGTCATTTTCTGACAGACTTAATGCTTTGAGATAATTTGGGGAGCTCAGAAAGAGGGTAACACACCCCATGAACTGCAAATGAAATTGATGATATATTAAGTATTGTGTTGGTTTCCTAGCCTCGAACTACTTTTGAGAGTTTAATCTGAAGTTTTGTTTTTTTTTGTTTTTTTTTTTTTTGTTTTTTTTTTTTTTTTTTTTTTTTTTAATCCAAGCAAACAAAAGCAAACAAACAGAAAATCCAGCCCTCTCTGAACCACCAGTATGACTGGGTGGTAGAGTAAACTCATTCTCCAGCATTTACCCAAATTTACATTTTAAAAGCCTACATTGCTATTCTTGTTGTAGTTAGGTAAATAAATAATCTAGCTGTAGAAGTTTAAATGAGAATGTTACTCAATAGGCTCCAGTGTTTGAACACTTGTTTCCTAGTTGGTGGCATTGTTTGGGAAGGTTTCAGAGATGCAGCCTTGCTGGAGGAAGTGTTTCACTTAAGTCAGGCTTTCAGATTCAAAATCCATCACATCCAGTTTGCTGTCTCTGTTTTGTGCTTGCAATCCAAGATGTGAGTTTTCAGTTTCTTATTCCCACTGCCATACAATTCCCACCATTATAGTATCTAAACTTCTGGAACAATAAGCCAAACAAAGCAAAATCAAAAACAATCAACCCCCAACTCTTCTGTAAGTTGTCTTGGTCATGGTGTTTTATCACAACAAAAGTAACCAGTATAGAAGTTGGTACCAGAGAGTGGGCTGCTGCTGTGAAGAACCTGACCATGTGGGGTTTTAAAGGAGTGTAGAAGACTTTGGACCTTTGGACTAGAAAAGCAGTTGAATGTTGTAAGCAGAGTTTAAATAGACATTTTAGTGGGAGCCTGGAAGACATTATTCTGAGAGCAATGCAGACGTTAGAGGCTTGTCAAGTGGTTTCAGAGGGAAGAAAGGATCTTAAAAATGGGGTTAGAGACTATTTATATGATTGTTCTGGCAAGGATTCTGGTTGCTCTCTGTCTTTCTCCCAAGAACTTGCCTGAGGGTAAATGAAAAAGTAATGGACTCATTTCTTGGATGAACCTCAAGGTAGCATCCTATTGAATCTATGGCGTGGCTATTCGGAATGACTGGTATGCAGGTCCACAATGTGGAATAGAAAGTGAGGCTCAAAAAAAAATAAGAAAATACAGTTTGAAGAGAAGAAGAGCACCTGGAAACTTAATGTTGCAGCCAAGCATGTGCTGAAGGAGATAAGGTTAGTACCTTTATTTATGGAGAGGCTTCCTTCTCTGCACTTCAATAAAGGAAAAGGTGCTCTCAGGTCAAGAGCCCACCCAGCTAAGGTTCTAATTTCTGGAAGAGCCTAAAGCACTTTCTGCTCCTAAAAAGCAACTGAGTAAAACTGCTTCTGCTAATGAGATTCAAGAAGGGCGAGATTCATCCCAAGCTGGCTGCATAAGGATGCAAGAGTGAAGGGCACACATATTCTTTCCTCATGATTTTAGAGAGCCACTGAGGCCCGGCAAAATGTGGTAGGGGAAGGCCCCATGTGGAATCCTTGAGAGGTCAAGAGTCTATGAGATGCCATTGTGTAAAGCTGTGTAAGTGAAGTCTGGGATGTAGTGGAGACCCTAAGACATTAGACATGGCAGAGCCATGAGATCTCTGTCAAGAACAGCCTCATATAGAGTGAAAACATCCCAAGAGAGAGATGTATGTTGCAAGCAGCAAAACTGGACAGTTGTAACCATCTAAGCTGTTTGAAATTCAAGTCTCAGACACTGGATACGAAGGTAAAAGATTTGGTGTTTGCTCTGCTGGGTTTCCATCTTGCTTTGGTCTATTATTTCCTCACTATGCCTCAATTCTTTCCTTTTCGAATGGTAATATGTATTCCATATTATTATATTTTAGAAATATGTAAGTTGTGAGGGTTTTGTTTTGACAGTATGTTTACAATTAATGTTATCTTGAGTCTCAGAAGAGACTTCAGACTTTTAAACAGTGTTGGGTCTGTGAAAGACTGAGGGTTTTTGAAGTTGAACTGAATGCATTTCACATTATGACATGGCTAACAGCTCATGGGAGTCGAATATAAATGTCTGAATAAAAATGTTCCCTAAAGGCTCCCATATTTGAATGACTGGTCCTCAGTGGGTGGCATTGTTTGAGTGAAGTTTAGGAGGTACAGCTTTGAGGAAACCTGTCACTTGGGGCTGGCTTTCAGAGCCCAAATCCACTCACTACTTAGGGCTTAGTCTGTTTTGTGCTTACACTTCGAGATGTGAGCTCTTACCTTCGAATGCCTGCTACCTGCTATTATGCCATCCCTGCTGTTACAGACTTCAGCCCTCTGCACCTGTAAGCCCAAAGACACTCACGTTGTGTAGTCATGGCGTTTTAGCACGGCAACAGAAAAGTGACTAATACAGAAATTAAGTCTCAAACTTATTTTTCCAACAATTTGCTCTTACTCTGATTTCCTTATTACTTTAGACATTATTTACCTTCCATGTGGACACTTCTCCTGTATCAACTTTGCTGCCACTCTCCAAAAAATACTTTCAACTTTCTCCAACTACTCTGACTTGGTATCATGAAAGACAAACACTTGAATCCTAGAAAATAAATCTAGACAACTGGCACAAACTAAAAACCAAACACCGTAGCAGTTTACCCACAAAGACCTCTTGCCTGTTCTTGTGTGAACTACTCAGAAAGTTCATTGGCATGTGCGACTCAAATTTAATACAGAAAAATCTTTCATATTGTTATCATTGGCTTCTACTCGAAATACTAGAGCCCAAGTCTAGGAATGTTCTTAGCCAACAACCTATCAGTTTCAAATTGGCTTCTTAGACTATGCCAAAAATTATTTTCGCCTTTCTTTAGCTTCCAGAAAATTATGACTTACTACAAAACTGCTTGGACCATAGAGAGGCCAACTTCTGATACCCCTCATTTGCAGTACCACAGCCATGAATCAGTTTCTACTTCCTTAACTGATCTTTTCCCAGCGATAGCAGACTACAGGTATAGTGGCACAACTCTATTTTAATGTTAGAGATCCCAAGTATGGAGGAGAGACCTCATCCTGAATATATTTCTTTTATATACTTTGAGTTGGTCAGATGACTATACACTGTATGCATGTGTGGAGTTACCAATTTTGAATCTCATTAATGTATCCAATGATACATGTTAGTCCAAAATCAGCACAAAATTCATACATATTTTGCTCAAGTGAAAATAGCTTCTATAATTTATTATTTTATTTTTCTCCCATTTTACTTTCTATTGAATATGTGGGTATCTAGACAGAAATATAAACTGTCTCATGAATATAAAAACATTGTGTTCTCACTCTTTCTAGAGTTAAGAAATAGTCCAAGTTGTTAATTTTTATTTCACATTTAACTATTTTTTTTTTTTTAAGATTTAATGTGTTGAATATCAAGATGGGAACAAGAAAACCTCTATGATAGTAAACTGTGCCCCTCAATAACGTTATCAGGAACAACTACACATGCAATATTTTATTTAAAAAATAGGAGCTGGGGAGATGGCTCAGTTGTTAAGAGCATTTGTTGCTCTTTCAGATGTCCTCGGTTCGATTCCCAGCACCCACATGGTAGTCCAAAACCATCTGTAACTCCAGTTCCACGGGATGCAATACTCCTAATTTCTGTGGGTACCAGACACACAAGTGATGGACATACATACATGCAGGCAACACTCATACACAAAATAAAAAATAAATACCAAAACAGCCAACCTTCATAGCTAAAAGAAACAGACCACATTTTTCACACCACTCTACTCCATCCCTTCTAATGGTTTCCTACATTGTTCTTATTGTTACTGATGCAAAAAAAAAAAAAAAACCAAAAAAACAAAACCTATCAAGTGCACATGTACTCATCCATTTCAGATCTTATTGGGACAGATGCTAGTGGATTCATTTATTAGTCTCATTTAAATACTATTTAACAGGAACCAGTGGCAGCAGACACTACCCTGCAACCCTATGTAAGGAAGTTTCTCAAGCTTTGCTACTTTAAAGGGTTGAGCCCACCTGCACTTCATTTATCATGATTGTGATTCATACTTCTGAATGAGACATAATCGCTGTTTTTGTAACTTTTTGTTAAAAGGCCAAATGTCTTTAAGCTCGGTTGTCTGTTTTGGATGCTTGACCCAAGGACCCTGTATTAGTTTCCTTTGTGTTGCTGTGGTAAAATTCCTTGATCAAAACAACTTAAAGGGAAATTACAACAGCAGAAAGGGGAGGGAGGGAGGGAGGGAGATAGAGAGAGAAGGAGGAAATGTTCTAAGTTGTAGAACTTCAAAGCCTGAAGGACTCTTGTCACTTGCTCCCAACCTGCAGCCCCTTCCCATGTCATACCCAACCTCTTGGCCAGCCAGATCCTACACTCTTCACCAGGGTAAGCCTGGCTGACCATCTGATCCTCCCTTCCACCCTGATCTAGACTAGGTCTCATATCCAGTGTCCCCAAATAGACTGGGCACCTCTTGGGATGCCCTAAAACTTGAGGCTCAGATCAGGACCCTTGTAGCCTTACCCCAACCTAGAGGCATATTTAATACCACATCCGACCTCTCCACCTAGCCAGATCCTGCATATCACCCATTCATCAGGGTTTAGCTAGGTGAATCCATCTGATCCTCCCCTCCATGCACCCTTGCTTCCAGTGCCTTTCTAGATAAAAACAAAAACAAAACAAAAAACAAAAACAACAAAGAACCAATGGCTCTGATGCTCGCTGTATTGCTGTGAGAAAAGGTCAGTTGAAATTTCAAGCAGGTGGCTTTTTACATTTCAAAACAACTCGCACCTCTCACCTAGCCAAAACTACCTGGGCTAGTAGAGTCAGGTGCTTGTGCTGCCCTGGCATCCTTCCTTTGTGGACACTTTGGAATGTGTGGTCCTTTCTGGTTTCCTGGTTAGGTAAATGGCACCATAGTATATTAGTTAATCTTGCATGTGGCATTAATCCAGAACAGTCATATGCCTATATTTTGCAGTGGACTGAGCCTGTCTACTCTGATAATTGACTTCAGATAGTAATAGCAGCAACTATTTTTTATTGAGCTGCCATGTTGGTACTTTGGTTTGTCCAAGAAACACCAAGACCTCAGAATTGCTCTTATCCTTAGTGTGTGGCCTTTACTCTGTCTAACAAGGACTGGATGTTCAGCAAGGAGATGCCTGTATTGGAGCTAGTCACAGTCAGAGGCTGGCACTGCATGAGAACCTCAAGAGTAGTTTTCTCTCCCTATCTTGAGCAGACAGCAGGTTCAGTCCACAGTACTCTGAAACCTATCAGCCTGTCACATTTTATCCATTTAGGAAAAACATCCTGAGGGAAATGAACAACATTCCATTGTTTACCCAGTAATATATTAGTAGTATTTGTCACCTAGAACTTTATCTCTAATAAGGAAAGTGTGTTTGTTGTATAGTCTTTGGAAAAAAACTCATTACACTCAGAAATGAGTCTTGTTCTTCTGACATGTGAGAATGTTGCTTTTTCCAGTTTTCATGAGTGAGCGTATTTAGAAACTTTTAATATGTAATACATTCATATATTCTGAGAAGTGAGTTGTTGGTACTATTCTTCTGAGCTGTGTTTTTTCTACCAGATCAACTATTATCTAGTAAATTTGAAGCAACAACAAAGGGTTTTCCCACATTATTTACCCTTGTGCATTGGGAACAAAGTTGAAAATTCTACTATGTTCTCTGATATTAGAAAAACTTTGTATCTTGATTTAAAGGTGTTGACACACTTGGTATATTTATAGTGTTTCACTCCAGTATAAACTCTGGTGTTAAAGTGTGCAAAATGGTAGAAGTCTTTGGCACTTTTTCTACACTTGTAGGGTTTGCCCCGGGGTGAATTTTTGTGCTTAGTGAGAGTTGAAGAGCTATACAGGCTTTGCCAGGTTCTGAATATTTGCTAGTTTTTGTCTCCCATGTGAATTCAATGTTCAGTAAGAGATGAGCAACAATTTAGATTTTTCCACATTAAAAAATATCATTAGTGTTTCTAAAGTGATGGTGGTGCCTAGTAAAGAATTATAAACATTTAAGGATTTGGTATTGTTCATATTTGTATGGTTTCTCACAGGAAGAATTAATTTTCTGATACTGAGAACCTTGTGAATGATAAGTCATAGACTTTGCTACATTCACTGCTTCTGTCGGACTCATCCCCACTTTGAATTATGACATTAAACAGGTTTTTGACTATGGGTAAAGGATTTACTACATTCTTTACATTTGTTGGTTTCACTCATGTATGAATTCGCTGATGTTTTCTAAGGTTTGAACACTGACTAAAGCATTTTCCACACTCACTACATTTGTACGGTTTCTCTCCTGTATGGATTCTCTGGTGTTGAGTGAGGTTTGTACAATGGATGAAAGCTTTGCCACACTCCTTACATTTGTAAGGTTTCTCTCCTGTGTGAATTCTCCGGTGTTTAGTAAAAGATGAACGGCAGTTAAAGGCTTTGCCACATTCTTCACATTTGTAGGGTTTCTCTCCAGTGTGAATTCTCTGGTGTTTTCTAAGACTTGAACATTGGGTAAAAGACTTTCCACATGGTTCACATTTGTAAGGTTTCTCTCCAGTATGAATTCTCTGGTGTTCACTAAGTGTTGAGCTTTGGGTAAAAGCTTTGCCACATTCTGCACACCTGTAGGGCTTCTCTCCAGTGTGGATTACCTGGTGTTTTCTAAGGCTTGCACACTGGGTAAAGGATTTCCCACATTGCTTACATTTGTAGGGTTTCTCTCCAGTATGAATTCTCTGGTGCTGACTAAGAATTGAGCAATGATTAAAGCTTCTGCCACATTCTTCACATTTGTAGGGTTTCTCTCCAGTGTGAATTCTCTGATGTTTTTTAAGGCTTGCACACTGTGTAAAGGATTTCCCACATATTTTACACTTGTAGGGTTTTTCTCCCGTGTGAATTATGCTGTGTTTATTGTAACTTGAGCAATACTTAAAGGCTTTGCCACATTCATTACATCTGTAGGATTTCTGGGCCTTCTGAATTTTATGTGTAGTAAGGTTTGCGGTTTGGTTAACTGTTGTGTCACAATCAATACGCTTGTAATGATTATCTTGAATATAGTTACATTGATGGATGGTAAACTCTGAGCACTGAGTAAATAAATTTTCACAATTGAAAAGGTTCTTTGGAAACAGAGTACACTCATGTTTGTTGGAACTTGAGTCATGGTCAAAGTTATTATGCACTTTGCTACACTGACCAGATTTCTCTACAATAACCATATCCTTGCAATTATTTAGTGTAGAGCCATTATTGAAAGCTTTGCTAGTTTCTTTACACATATATGTGGTTTTCCAAATATCTGTATCTGGATTTTGGCTATGCAATAATGGATCCGTAGTAAGCAGTCCACAATTGTGCATTTGGCTATAGGAAAGATCTACTTGCTGACTGAAGAGTAAGGATCTTTCAGGATAGGAAGTCTCTATTTGATCAATTTTAGAGATCAGTTCTCTGTTTCTCAATTCTTTGTCTATGGAAATGTTTGAGTGAAAGACTAATCCCCCTTTCAGATCTTCCAAACTTCTTTTCAAAGTAAAGTTATGTTGAACAATGTCCTGTGGATATTTTTGTTTATAGATACATGGCTCATCAAAAGCACTTGTCCCAGCATGGGTTTTTTTCACAGCTGTTTTCTGCTCTTGATCTCTGTTGTCAATGACATCTTTGCTATTGCTAGTGATCGCACACTGGTTACGTCTACCACAGCAGGCTGCTTGACCTTTATTCTCACCTACATTTGCCCAATTTCTTAAACTCTTAAGGCCATAACTTCCAGGTCTTCCATGAGTCACTTTTTTGAAGGAATATTTTAGGATCTGTTCTGGTGAAAAGTTCTGGGTACAATGATGAGAAAGAGCTGAAATAAATAAAAACAAACAAATTAATTTAATGGATTCTGGTGATTACAGTTTATAAATATATATAAAGTTATACCAGATTAGAACATCAGTGGGAAACCATAGGACCAAAGATTCTCAGTACTCTCTTGCATAATAACTTTAGAAAAAAAAATACCGACCAAATTAAACTTGCGTACCCTCTCATAACCAGTTAAGAAATCACAGCACCCCAAGTAAGCAAAAAGCCAAGGGCAGTTTGATTGTAGCCGGAAGCAAAGTTGTTACTTTGGTCAACCATAGTTCCTCTCTCCCTGTACAGCACAGGCAGTTAGGGAAATCCAAACCTCCATCTCCATCAGGAGAAAGTAGAATGAGGCTTTTTTTTGGTAGGGGCTGTCTGAAACCTGGCTACCTACAATGACAGAGTGTAGGAGATACCAGCTGTATTTTACATGAGAGTTTTGTACAATTGAGACCAAAGGCAAATAGTGATTTGTACTCCAAACTGTCATTGGGGTAGAGAGCCCACGGTAGCTAATGAAATCTGTATAAAAACATAACTCCATATAACAGATGTCCTGAGAACATGTTTCAGAGTCCTCAATAATCAAAAGCATGATGGAGACATCCTGTAGAGAAAAAAATAACTTTCTGAATGTAAACAAATTACTAGTGTTTATCAATTCACTGAAAAGTAAATTTAGTCTACTCATCACGTACATACAGCATGCTATTTTAGGTATGTATTTATGGTGGAATGACAAAATCTATCTTCCTAACACATTATCATTTCATATAATTGTAATTTTTGTACTTGGACACTTCCCATCAATTTCCATAGCATTTCTCAAAAACACATGATCTATACAATTCTGTATGTTCTTATGCCTATCCTTTTTTTAAAAATTAAATCTAGATCTCTAATAAACAGGTACGGTCTAGTAGCTTTATGTTTATCTTAATAAGTTTTTTCATCTTTGATCACTACTACTTCAGTAACACCCAAATTGACAGCCTCACTCACTTTTTATTTCTGAGATTAACTTTTCAAATTGCACATTGGGATGTTCATTTCCTGTGCCTGCCTGATTTCATTTTAAGTCCTTCACTTTTACCCATGCTGCATAAAATGAGATTTTTTTCTCTTATATAGCTCAATAGTAAACCACTGTGCATATGGACCCCATAATCTTTTAAAAATATTTTTTATTATTTTTAAACGTTAGTGCAGATGCGTGTGAATGTCAGAAGCATCACGTCCCTCTGGAGCTGGAGTTACAGGCAGTCATGATGTGGGTGCTCAGTGTGGGTGCTGGAAACCAAATTCTGGTCCTCAGCAAGAACAGTTTGTGTTATTAAATACTGAGCTCTTTCTTCATCCCCCAAATCATCTATTTGTTAGTACTGAAATTAGCTTTTGGCTACTTCAAATTATGCTGCACTATTGGTAATCTTCTCAACAGTGATTTAATATTGTTTGCCAAAATATTCAGTCCCTGGGGTGGCTGGAACAAATGCACCTTTGGTTTTTAAGGTTTTAAGGTGCCTCCATGCTGTCACCCCCCATGACTCATAATTAATCTCTTGCTGATTCTTTTTTTAAAGGACAAATTTCCATGAATGCTAACACAGTACACAAAGAAACAGGGTGCTGACTCAGGAGGAAGGACATGAAAAATACTGCAAACTCATCATTCAAAAACTGATTTATGAATTATATAAACAAAACAACCATCTGAAAGATAATGGATTAATAAAACACTAAAATCAAGAAAATGAGAATACAAAGAAATAGACACCATAAGCAAATAACACAGGTAATACATTTAGTAAGAAATAGTGGTAGGAATACTAGAAATATGATGAAGAAACACATCAGAATTCAAGCAGCTTAATTAGTTGCTTTAGGCTGAAAGACAGAGAGTGAAAATGATGCACGCTTGGAGTCCACGTTTCACAAGTCACAAAGGTAATCTGGAGAGCAAAGTGAGGATGCTCTCTGTGACCCCAGAGGAGCTTTGGAAGACGCACTGTAATGCAGACATAAGAAGCAGAACACAAAGAATGCACTTCAGGGACACAATCAACCCATCTTCAAAGTGAAAGAAAATAAACTCATTCATGGATATATAAACACTAAATTGCCCGACTGTTACAAGGCAACACAAATAATAAAAATTTCAAGCTCTGAGGAAAATCAAATACAGAGCAACAGAATTCCACAGACTTATGAGGATGTAAAAACACTTTAAAGTTCTGAATAGAATTTGAAAGACAAGTGTAAAAGCTTTATCATAAACCTCTGTTAACACGTACAGACGTACAGACACACTCTAAATAAAACAGCTAATACCAATAATATCACAAGAAAGGGAAATGTAATTACAAAGAAAATTTCTACGCACTGGAAATTACACTGTCATTAGTGAATACAAAAAAGGAAAATTATGCTGTATCACAGGAGACTCTTTTAGATGTAAGGATTCAGGAATGTTAAAAATCATGAAGTAAGGGACAAAAAGAGCTGGCATGGCCATAATTATGTTATAACAAACATACACTTTCAGACAAAAAGTTGTGTGATAAGAAGATATAATTTAAGCCAGAAACTGTAATGAAAGAAAATAACCATGCTGGCAAGCTTTTTTTCTCCCTCAACTACACAGAAGCTAGAGTCTTCCAAGAGGAGGGAATCTCAACTGAGAAAATGTCTCCATAACACTGGCTTGTGGACAACCCTGGAGGGCATTTTAATGCCAGATGATTGATGTAGGAGAGCCCAGTGCATTGTGGGTGGTACCATTAATGGTAGGTGGTCCTACCTAGGGTCTTTATGAAAGCAGGGAACACTTGTCTGCCAAGGACCCCACAACTGTTCTTTAAAGCACAGATTTGTATGGATCATGAAAAGCACAGGCTACAACAGACATTTTTGAAAGGAAAGATTGTTAAATGCTGGCAGTGTGTTGGGAGCTCTGCAGGGATGCTGTCCTCACCCACAGAGACCAGGTTTCTGTAGTTCTCTAACATCACATCCCTATACAGATTCTGCTGAGGAGGGTCCAGGCATTCCCACTCATCTGGAGAGAAATCAATGGCCACATCGCTGAATGTCAACTGGTCCTGAAATAAAAATGAACAGAAATAAATACTACACTGATCAGAGTTTTAGTGTCACCTAAGAAGAAGGAAGAGTTAGAACTGGTGACGACACAGGCTGTTAGAATTGTTCAGTAAGGTGCTTTTCGTATCACACTGATATTCTACAACACCTTACCTAACCAAGTCTAACTATGACATAGCACCTGCTGAACCAGTGTCAACACTCCAGCTTTATGACATTTAACATGTCAAGGCAAAGCATTACCATCAAAATAGTCACAATATAAACTAATATTATACAACGCTACGTATATTTCTCAGATGAGAATGTCACAGTGAATTACATGGATGATGATTCTGATTCAGGAGTTCTGGACTGGAATCAGAGTTTCTGAGGACACAGCTCAGTAGTAATGCTGACGTCAGTGTCCAAGGGCTGCTCATTAGCAGCCTTGAGGTAGACACTAGTGGAAGAATTCACTGGTAAATTTGACTTTTAAAGTAATCACACATTTTATTATAATAGAAAGTATAGCAAGAATAATCTTTTTGATTATTTAAAACTACTATCTTCCATGATTTTATGTTTCTTTTTTTCTACATCGTTTTGTCAAATCCATAGCAAGTGGTCAAGCCTAGGTTCTGACCAAATGTACCTGTTGCAGAATTCAGATGGAAACATAAAGTAAAAATAACTTTCAAGCAGCTTTCACATGAGATTGGGAATGGAAATGTGTTAAGAAGGCAGCAAAACAAAACTGATCAAATATTATTTATATTTTATTTCTACACATAAAAACAGTAGCTATAAATCCAAAGCAATACACTATGGCTGTGTGCATTTCCCAGTCATAGAGTGCTTGCCTAGGACTTATAAGGCCCTGGGCTCCTCCTGAGGACAGATTAACACATACACACACACACACACACACACACACACACACACACACACACACACACACACCAAACATAAAAAGAGTAGAAATGTTCTCATCAAACATGAGAAATATGGGTCTGGAGATGTAGTTCAGGCTGTAGAGTGTGCCCAGCATGCACATAGCTTTGGACTGACTTCCCGGCACTGCTTAACCAAGACGTGTGTGTGTGTGTGTGTGTGTGTGTGTGTGTGTGTGTGTGTGTGTATGTGTGTGTGTCACACCTTTAACCCCAGCACTTGGGAGGTGGAGGCAGGAGAATGAAAATTCAAGGCCATCCTTAACTCCACACTGTTAGAGGCCAAATATTTAAATATTCTATTTAAAGAAGATTCTAATTCCTAATAAGAAATTAGGGCCTCAACGCCACACACAGAAACCCCATATACCATATGTGTAGGAACAGGGGTCAAAAGAATGGCCATGGTGAACAATGCCTTGGGGACCATGAGGGGAAAAAGGCAAAGGGCCTTTTACCTCAGGTGCATCTTGTTCCCTGAATAGTTCTTGGATGTGATTTCGTTCCTCCTGCGACAAACATTTACATTCAATTTATAAGACATTTATTCTTGGTGGATGTGAGAACATAGCTCTAGAACCCAATCTTTGGTGTACCCTGAATCTGGGTATGGTCTTCTGCCTTGCTTTTGTGCTTTCCGAAGAAGATATAATCTATAGTAAGTGCCAGGCATTGTGTTTAAATTGGTTTAAACTTTCCTGATAAAGTTCTGGGAAAGGGCTGCTCTGTTAAAATTTAATATGTGCTTACTGACCATTATTTACATGTTTTTCTGAATCGAACAACCTTTGGATCATTGCTTTCTTAGTTACATTCCTGTATAAAATTACACTGAAACTGAAGTAAGGCTGTCTACAGCAGGAGACCATAGGTTCTCCCTCCCCCAGCCCCCAATCTTTCAGGTTCTCAGAATCCAGGTCTCACATACAGATCTGCATAGGCTGGTGAAAGTCAAAACACATGCATTCTCCCTTGATGACATATCCTGTGGAAATCACACAATCTGGGGAAACACAGTTGTACCCAATTGTACTAACATATTTCCCTGGAAATATATCTTGCTTTCAGAGACTAAACTCTCTTGCAAGCAAGTCAGCACTATGCCTTGAGAGGTGATTTTTTTTTTTAAAGACTATATATTCAATTTGATATCCTGCTGAATATTCAGCCTGTTTAAGTTTACCCTGCCTTTAAGAAAACAAGGTAACCAGCCTTACTATGCCTTGTATTTACATGTTATCAGCTTTTATATCCTAAGCTGAATGCAGTTTTAATCTTACATTATGTATTCCTCACATCCCTGATCCAGAATAATGTATGTGTGCACAGGTGTGTTGTGATCTTTTGCTGAAGGCCTTAAACAAAACAAAAATCCCATAAATGTTGGAAGCATTATGTGGATATAGGTTGATAAAATCTGTCAGTGGTTTTGAGATCTATTTTGAGTCAGTTGGGTTCACGACAGTAACTTCTTCCTTTGTAAAACTCTGCTAAAGATACCAGTATAAGTATTCCTCATTCCTTTCCCGTATCATGTTTTCATTCTTTTTTGAAAAATTTATTTTATGTGTATGTGTCAGAATAGGTCATCAGATCCCCTGGACTGGAGTTACAGACAGTTGTGAGTGCTGAAAATCTAACCTGGGTTCTCTGAAGAGCAGTCTGTGCTCTTTTAACCAATGAGCCATCTCTCCAGTCTCTTAGCATGTTTTCTATGCTGTTCAATAGATACAAAGCCAAGCCCTTTGTTAGGGATAAACAACACAGGCAGGCAACAAGAACATCACACACAACACACGCAACACAGGCAGGCAGGCAGACATCAGACACAGACCAGACACAACAGTCCACTAATCACACCATACATATGGAAGATACAGGGAGAGAAAGAAATTCAAAATTGGGCTTGCACCTGGGACAGTATTCTAAGAAGACATCTCTTTCTCACTGTCATTGCGACGCTGATGCACCCAGTAGCAGTGGTGCAGGGTTAGCATGCCCGGGTGCTCTAGTCATTGCTCTATTGCTGGGAAGAGACACCATGACAAAGGCAACTCATAAAAGAGAGCATCTGATTGCAGGCTTGCCTGCTGTTTCAGAGGGTGAGCCATTATCAACACAGCAGGGAGCATGTTGGTAGGAAGGCAGGCATGGTGATGGAGAAGTAGCTGAGAACTACCTCCTGATCTGCAGGCAGAACAGAGCCAGGCAAGGGCTTCTGAAGCCTTAAAGCCCACCCTGAGCAACACACCTCCTCCAAAAAGGACACACCTCCTAATCCTTCCACACAGTTCATTAACTGGGACTAAGCATGTAAACATGTGAGCCTGTGGGGGTACGTCATCATTCAAACTACCGTACCAAGCATCTTAGCTATTGTTCCAGCCCCACAACACATTACAGAGGGGTCCTAGGGCCAAGCTTCTCCTGCACTGGGCTAGATCCCCTTAGTCTGGCAGTAACTGTGCAGTGATCTATTCCCTTCTCTGTCACTGTCCTGTTAGTTTGGTCAAACAAACTTCACATCACTCCATGCTGCTCTGTGCTTTGGGTGACAGTTTTCTCTGGGAATTTGGACAGCTGTCTGCAGGGCAGCAAAGCACTCTACACCAACTCTGGGAACAAAGACAATACACAAATGCAGAGATAAATAAAATTTTAAAAAGGGAAAGGGAAGGAAAAGACAGAAAAGAGGAGGGGAAACAGAAATCTTTCTGTACGTGATGGCAAGGTTACAGCAATGTACATAATGTGAATAATCAGGGTTCGTTCATGAGAATAGAATCCCTCTGGGATAAAGACCTGCTACTTTAGGGAGTAAGGTTCCTGCAGTCTAGAGATAAGGCATGGACATCAAGCTGCTCTAAGTCACCATATAATATGTAAAATAAAGGCTTCCAAGCTGCACTTTGTCCTGCGTGGCTCCATTTTGAGTGAAAACACTATGATGGAAAAGCTAACAGGACCACTCAGTATGTGTCAAGGGACCACCAAAGAATCCCAGACGGTTCTCTGGGTTTCTAGTCTCTATGGTCCCCACTCCATGACTAGGGCCCCTCAAATCGTTCTCCCTCCTGTACATAATCCTGCTCCTTAGCAAAAAGGAGCCATGCCTCCACCACAGGGCTCTCGTGTTCTCCAGCAGCTCTACTACTGGGTTCATCAGTATGAAACTGAAAAGAAGGGGGAATTGAGGGGACAAAGAAAGTTAAAGGAGTCTGCTCAATGTCTCTGCTCAGATAAAAGCCACACATTACAACAATAAAATTTACTATTTAAGCTGCCTTCACAGAGACACAATTCCTTTTATAAACAGATCAAATAAAATATTACAACAGCAATGAACAGTGCTTAAGACCTAAGTATAGTCAACCTCCAAATAGGTCTTAAGACCTTTCCGAGGTATTAAATGAGAATTTCACAAGATTATTAACTTTTACTCACATTAAAAAACACTTAACTATTCACGCAATCCTCATGCCTAAGGGTTTCACCTCATAAGCTACAATGTTATCCACTGCGTATCAGGAACTAGCCTAAGATCTTATTTAACTTCTTCAGCAACCCTTTGCGATGCACGTTCAGAATGCACTGAAATCTTATAAGTAACTGTTTACTGTACAGCAATTATTGGAGACTGTAAAGAGTTCTACATCCACACATGGGTCTATCTTTCCCCTTCTAAGAACCTGTTTCTATTAACCTTCATGCTCAAATCTATGTTAAAACCTCTTTCTAACAAATTCTATGCCTGCTTCATACTGGCCCATCCAGAAATTCCTTTCTGTGATAAAAGTATCCCAGCTTTACCAGAGTAGAGGTCATTGAGAAGAACTCCTCCTCTGCTACAAAAATCAGCATGAACTGTGTTTCCTGCCTACGTCCCATTGCTGCTAATATCTTCAAGGCCTTTTTAATACATATCAGCTTTTTATCTCTGGCTCCTCTGAACTCTGAGCTTTAACCTTTCTGTAACCATTATGTAATCTATATCGACACACAGTTATAATAGTAATTCATATTATAAAAGAACCTATGGCAGCTATCAAAGAATATCAGACTGCCTGGTAGATGCAGCTAATAAGAAGAGCTTATTTTTTAAATGCAACTTTGGAAATGTGTTCATCTATGTTTCTGACAAACCACTCTCATGACATGGGAGAGGGGGCTCAGTTTGTAGAGGTTCACTGCAACAGGCAGGGAATTCTCAGGAAGCTTCCAGTTTACTCAGCTGCAATGGATACCAAGGCCATCCCCACATGGTACATTCTCAAGCAAATAGATATTTTATTAGTGTTTCTTCAGTTCTTCATAGACTATGATGTAGGCCTAGGTCAGAACATGGCTCAGATGAGGCTATACTGACAATACAATACTTTTCATATATAAGATACAGAACACACAGTTTGCATAAACAATAGACAGTTAAGACCCCTATCTCAACAAAGACAGACGTATTCCAGAAAGGGAGTCCTCCAGACTTATAAACCTAGGGAAGAAGCCTACGTTCTGCTTTAGCCATGTTCCCCTCCCCTTGCTGGCAAGTCCTTTACTGCTGCTGTCAGGTGACTATCAACCCCAGGCCACAGAATGAATAGCAAGTAGAACCAACTGTGACTATGAAGTTGATGGAAGAATTCAGGGATCCTGAACTGAGAAGCACAAGTCAGTAAGGTAACACCCTAGTGTCTTATGTAAAATCCACATGAGTGGTAAAGGCAAGAGAGGAAGGTGTTCTGTAGCTTTTCCTCATGGTATAAAACAGTCATCTCTTCCACTATCATGCTGCAGGACAGAGATAACCAAGACTAAGTCAACCGTGGCCAGGTAGGCATGACAGAAAACGAAATACAGTGATCACTAGGTCTGTAACAATGGCAATGTGGCTGTTCATAATCTCTAAAAGACAGAATGAGGTGGGAGAATCCTAGGACTTGATTTTAGGATTCTACCCATCTCATCCTCTTGCCTCTCAGTTGCACAAGACCATGGAAGATGCTAGAATATATAGGAACAGAAAAGTTTAAGTGGGATTCCATGATGCAGCTCTTGTGTTTTGAACATACTTTCTGGGATAAGACTTCTCAGTGGTACAGCACCTTTGCAATTCATGCTCCTATACACTCAACGGATTCACTGGTTTATGAAGTGAGGTTCAGTGGAACCTTTGCTTTACTGTGCTCATGATGCCCTATCTTGGTTAATCACACTTTTGTTCACACCTGCCAAGGAAAAGAAATGCAACCAAGTATGGAGGTTTTGAAAGAAAAAGCTTTCAGGGGTGAGGTGAAGGAAGGGCTGAGTCTTCAATGACTGGAGCCCAGAGTGAGGTCATCACTTGTGACAGACATCTGAATGAGCCTCCCTGCTACCACTCTCTCAGCTACCCGAGTCTGTCGGGTCACCGACCTCACTGTCTGCTTCGTGAGGTTGTCTTTACTGGTCTGAGATGCAGTCTCACCTGTAGGCCCCAGGCATGCCTTCAGTTCTAAATTCCTGTGTCTTACTCAATAACAGGCTTCTGGAAGCCTGAGCGTGATCTCCCTAATCCCCAGGCCCTCTCCTCAAGTTGGTCACACTCCTGACTCCAGGTCTACCAATTCTTCCTGGAAGCAGTTTGTTCACACTGTGAAGGACCCAAGTTAACACCTTCCAGTGAGCTATATCCTGAGCCTCTAGGCTCTGGGAGAAAGAGGAACTAAGTACACACAAATTGATGGACACATTTTCCATGGAATAAGCACCAACTGAAGCTTATTCCAGGAACAAGTTGTACAGTGCATTCTGCCACTGGCTACCTGACAGTATGGATTCTAATAACCTGCATCAGTGATTCAAAACACAGCCAACAGGTGACAGGCCAGCTTTAAGAATAGGCATTCCACGGTCCACAGAATCAACTAATCAGGGTTCACAGAGGCTCAGAGACTGAAGTGACAATCAGGGAGCTTATATGGACCTGACCTAGGTCTTCTACTGCATATGTGTTATGGTTGTGTAGCTTGTTCTTGTGAGACTCCTAACAGTGGGAGCAGGGGCTGTCTCTGACTCCTTTGCCTGCTCTTGGGACCCTTTTCCTCCTATTGGGTTGCCCACTCTTTTCTGAAGGGCAACAGAGGAGGAGTGGATCTGTGGGAGAAGGGAGGTGAAGGAGAGGTGCTGTGGGGAGAGGAGGGAGGGGAAACTGCAGCTGGGATGTAATATATGAGAGAGACAAAAGTGTTCCAGTGGCCATAGATGTGTTGGAAAGGAAATCTTGGCCCAGAATTGTTTAAAATATAAATTCAGTGCAGTTGTTTTTAAAAACATGAAATAGAATGACCCCATGACCTAGCAGTCACAAAGGATTGAGGTCATAGTGATGAAGACGTGGCTACTCCACCATACTGACTACAACACGGTTCTCAGTGGCCAAGACATGCATCCACAAAAGGGCCTCTTAGATCAGAGTCTTCCAGGCTCAGGGCATCCAGCTGCTCCCTCACTGTACCCCACACCTCAGGTTGTTTTCTGAGGAGAGGACACAGTGGTCAATATGTGCTAAACAAGCACACAGCAGCTGTGGACACGTGGTGCCAGGCCCAGGTGCAGGAAATAGCTAAAGCACAGAGCATGGGCATCACCATGTAAACTCTCCAAGGGGAAAACTCAATCCAAAAACACTGAGATGTCTGTGGCCTAGAAGACAAAAAGAGGAGAGTACAAAATCAAATCAAATCAACAAAAAATACTTTTTTTTAGAAACAGGTGTTGAAAGGGGAATTGTTAACAAACAAAAGACAAATCCCTATAAAATGCCACCCACATGAAATGCCACATGTAGGACATGGTCCTTGCACCCAAAATGTCACCAGATGTGATTAAGTGCACACGACTGGACCTGACAATACTGTGTGTGTGTGTGTGTGTGTGGGGGGGGGGGGGGTCACGAGGCCTCACCCCTCCCAGAGGATTTGTGGGCACATTATAGTTGATAAGGGGCTGAGAGATATTTTCTCTACTAGTGTTACCACTAACTAGATGCCTGGGCTCCGGTAAATAATATCTCAGTAAATAACCCTAACGAAGCTCATGGGTTCCCCAAAAGATAGATGAAAGTAGAAATTACTAGAGAAGAAGGAGATTAGTGGGAGGGGGATGGGAGAGAGGATATGCTCAAAAACATAAACATGTATGAAAATGTCATAATGAAACCGACTACTATGTATAATATATACCAATATAAAAATTTTAAAACAATAATAAAGTGCCATTTATTATCTGGAGAATAGTGACATACGCTGTCTGACTGAAATACACACAACTGAAATACACCAACTGATAATACCGTTTTGGGAAGGGCACACATATTTGGGATTTAGGATTTATACCAGACCAAGGCCCTGTAGGCTGGAGAAAGGGTTTTGGATCTGAGCTCCTACTTCCGATACATTCCGACAGCTCAAGGGAAAACTCTGGGAGGAGGACGAACCCAGCTGCTCTCCGGCGGGAACGTCCGCCATGGAGACTGGATTTTCTGATGCTCCTTCAGACCGTCTCCAGCAGCCTGCAAAGCCGGCTGCAGACGGGAAGAGGCCGCCGCAGGGGAAGGGACTGGAGGCTGCAAAATCCGTGTTTCAGCCCAGCTCCTCCCTTCCGGGGCACCGGGGGACACGAGGTCCGCGCAGGCGCCCAGCTCCGCCCGAGGCCAGGGGGACCTGGCCCGGCGCCCCCGGGAGCGCAGACTCCCCCCTACCTAGCCCTCCGCGCAGCCTCGCGGCCGTCGCTCACCGGCTCCATGGTCCTCGTGCATTTCCAGCACCCGCAGCTCCCTGAGCAACGGCGATTTCGTCAGGGACACCCGGGGCTCCAAAGCTGCGACCCTCCCTAAGACATTTTCAAACACAAAGGGTATAGGCTCGCGAGACTGTCAAGGCCCGCCCCTTCGCTCTGTGAGCTTGATTGGCAGTTTTTTCAACCAACACCACTTCGACTCAAGCGACTGCCCACGGGCCTTGATTGACATCAGACTGCAGCCGTGGCGGAAGGAGGTCCGAATGACAAGTTCTCAGCTGTTTTTAGAGGAAGGCTTTCTGGGGATTTAGTTCCCAGGGGGACCTGTCGTTTTTTCCCTTCTGTATGATGTCACGTAAGTCATCCGTTGTACGTGTAACACATATATGATCTACCAGTGCAGAGAACATAACGATTATTTTTCCATTCCGTAGGACTTGCCTGGACTCTGTTCTGATGGAGACTGCCTCCTGGGTTTTGAGATAGGAAGGCATTCCCGAGTCAGCAATGTCCAGTACGGACAAACGAGAGGGAGAGGTTCAATTTAAAATATTCCAGTGTTTGTTCACTTTTAGAAACTGAAATTAAAAGAGCTACCTATGCCAGACCACGCTTCTTATCCAAGTGCTAGACAGGCAATAACGTGCTCAGAGGCCAGTGAGGATGGACCCTTCCCTCACAATCAGCTTGGGAGGAGACCCCCTCTTTCTCCAGTAACATCAGGTTTAAGAAAGGGAATATCACGTGGGTCCCGCAACTAGCTGGTGAGAACAGGATTGCGCCTAAAATGATGCCGGCCGAGAGGGGATGTTTGTGTTACGCTTGCTTGAAGATGCTGCATTTTATTTCACATAATACAGTTTCTAATGGAAACACTATGAAGGCCCTTCAAGGTTAACGACACTTGCCAATATATTAGTAGAATTTAGTAATTGATGATCAGTTTATAGACGATGGCTAGGAGGATGGTTTAGAAAATAGAAAGGGCTCATGCCTTCGGTCCTAAATTCTCTCATAACCGTAATGGAAATATGAACTGCAGTAAGCTGCTGCATTATTTCTTGTATAAAGGAGCTAAAACAAAAGGAAAAAGTCATTGAAACAATAATCAGCAAACAAATGCCCACAGCACATCCACATAACAATGTTTTAGTTACTAGAACAGACTATCTGTTCTGTGATGAAGACAGTCAATGAATGCTAAATCAGCTCTTTAAAAATTAACGTAAATCAGAGGAGAGAATCTAAAGAAACAAATATCTATGGTACATTTCCAGTTTGAGGTGCATTTAGACCTCACAGAGAGTCACAGATAAGCAGGAGACACTAAGGTCCTTCACTGTCACTTCACCGCAGAGTTAAAAAGTACCCCGCACACATGTTCACTCTACAAGCAAGTCCAATAAACTCACTGGCGTCGCAAAACGGACTTTAGTGGAATGCTAAAACAGGCAGGCATTGTTTACATTGACCCAGGGAAAGAGAAACTGGGACATAGGACTTCATTGAACAATGTCTTCTATGCCTTGAGAAAGGAATTATTTATCTTCTTTTATACCCATGTGCTGGATAGTTTTATGTTAACTTGACACAGGCAAGATTCTAAAGGCATCTGAGAGGGGGAAGCCTCAACTGAGAAAAAGCCTCCACAAGATCAGACCATAAGCAAGCCTGGAGGGCATCTTCTTAATTGATGACTGATGGGGAGGGCCCAGCCCACTGTGGGTGGTGCCATCCCTGGGCTGGTGGTCCTGGGTTCCATAAGAAAGCAGGCTGAGAAAGCCACGGGAAGCAAGCAGCAACCCTCCATGGCCTCTGCATCAGCTCTTGCCTCCAGGTTCTAGCTCTGCTTAAATTTCCGTTCTGACTTCCTGCAAAGATGGACTATGATCTGGAAGTTAAGCCACATAAACCCTTTCCTCCCCAACTTGCTTTTTGCTCATGGTGTTTCATTACAGCAATAGAAACCCTAACCAAGACAGTGTGCTTTGGAGATAGTTAAAGCTGTAAGTGCTATGTAGCAGCAATATCGAACTGAAGTAACCATCTTTTCCAGTTTTGTTGAATAGGGAAACTAGGAATTCTGTAAGACTGAGAAAATTTAGAACATTTAGAGTAAATGTTCTGTATATCAAAATATGTTTCAGAAAAATACATATTGGAGCTGTAGAATATTACAATAGTATTTATAGGGTTCCCATGTCCTAAGATTCAGGAGCATGTTATCTGTGGGCATATCTTGGTTTTCAATGTTTAGCACATAATTTATTGTCTGTTACATCCCCTGTACATCATCCCACAGGGTCCAGGGTAGCCTTCCCTAATAGGCAATCTGTGAAGGATGTGTATTTAAAATACATAGGTGTGACAAAGTTGTGGGAAGAGTGAATACCTGTAGTTGGTACATGTGTTATCCAGGACATCTTACTCCAATTACCATTAAAAGGCTGGATGGTATTAAATTTATAAGAAGATGCAGTTATCAAGCAAGTAATTAAATTGTCATAGTTAAGTCCAAAGGATCCCACCAAGACATTTTCTTTTTATTAAGCACCTTAGGACCTTGTTATAGGTTATAATAGAATCATCTGGAGAATGGCAATAAGTTACATTGAATTCTATTGAGGTGACCTGTGATAATTATTGTAGCTGAATATAGATGATGAATTTTCAGTTAGACTAGCCAGTTCTCATACCATTTATGGCACAGAGTCAGAGTGCCATAAATTTGAATATTTTAATCCATGAAGCAGCATACGGTGTGGCTCCTTTTAATGTAGTTGGGGTGTAATCTGAGTTTTAATGGATGAAGGATTCATTACATGATCATTTCATATGAAATTTGGTAGTTGGGGCTCTGAGGTCTGTAATCATCAGATTATATACCTGCTCTAGTTGGTATTATCTGGGTTGTTTTGAACCCCAGCCTCAGGTTTTAGTTCAAATAAATTTGGTTTTATTAAGCACTGTAAGTTTGTTTACATAATAGTGGATATACATATGACATTGCCATTTGCCTGATTGATAGTTTGAAATCCTCTCAACCAAATTAGTGTACATTTTCCATACTGGATGTGTGACATTTGTTCTAGTCTTGACAAAAGGAATAACTGTGATGTTATGTCCCTTGGAATGATGCAAAATTTAGTAAGATGCATGTATCATTGTAGTACTACCCTGTACCACTAGAGGGTGTCCATTCCCCAAATATGTTCCATCTATGTTGGACTGTGATTTTAGAGTTGAGATATTCTGCATAAGTTGACCAGTATTTGCCTCAAATACTAACAAATTGTCTCCAAAAGTGTAGGGGGTTTTGTTTTATCTCTAAACATACTTAATTCAAAGTTGGACAGTATAGAGGTGTAGTTTTGGGCTGCAGTGGGAGTAAACTTTCATGTGCCCCAAAGCCTGATTTGGCAATAATGTGAAATCATGTGGCAAGATTTTAGAAAAGTGAGCACCTAGGCTTGCTTTATACTTCTTTGTTGTGAGTTTACTAATATCAGTGGGAAGCTGTAAGATGTAAATCGACATGAGCTTAGACAGGGTTTCATTTGGTATTACTAAGTTGGAGACATTCAGAGATCATAGTAAAAAAGTGATCCTAATTAATTGAAATACCAGTACAGCCTGTAATGAAATTTGAGAAGATGAGGAAAGTCTGAAGAGAAAGAGATGTAATGTTTGGTACTTGTACAAATTACAAAATTTCAAATTAAATTGTTTTAATTAAACTTTGAAATGCTGAGTTTCCATTCTGCATGGAGAAGAAAGTTTATAAATACCTCATGGAGTATTGAACAGAGGACTCTGGAGTGAAGTTCATGGGAAGACAAAGCTTGGATTTGTCTGAGGAACCTTTGAATTCCTGTGAAGATTGTGCTTTAAAAGAAGGCACCTAAGAATAGAAGTAGGCGTCCTGAGCATCATTCTGAGGTAGACCACGGTGAGTATGGGCACAGAGTGCCTAGAACACACCAATGCTCAGTTGCTTTTGAGGATCAGTAATGGACTGACAAGTCTAGGCTTGTTCAGGCTGAAGGCATCTATAGATTAGTTCCTGATCCATTTCCCCAGATGTGGCCATTCTCAGGTGCACAGAGGGACTGAAAATCTGGCTATAACATTTCAAAGCAAGGTGTGCTGTGGTTTCATGCCTCTCATAACTTCAGTTTATGGGCTGACATTGACAACTAAATATACTTCTCTTCAAGGGTGCTGGAAAATGCAAAGATCTGCTCAATCCCAAATGAATGGCGGTGGTATTTATAAAGATGAACAGGACATAGGTACTGGAGAGGGACAGCACACACCAATACACATGAGGACACACAATATAATGGGAACTTCTCAGGGGAAGACACTCTAAGGAGACAGAAATGGAATAACCCCATCATTCATCATCCTTGAGCTCCATGAAAGGGATAATGCCTAGAAATGCTAAAGGGTGAGAAAGGAAATTACTATTGAACTAAGTAAAATGTCTTAATTGGATGGGTTTAATGTGAGAGCAGGCAAACTGGGTGGTGAAGATGAGAAGTAGAGAATTGTGTGGAAAGTGCCCAAGAGGGCATATTCAGATGGAAGTCAGATACCGTCAGCATAGGAAGACAAAACATAAAATTTCTGAAGTGGACACTGGTTCTATTTTGAAATACTAAGGAAAATACATTGTAGTGCCGACTGGCCACTATCCTGGGGCTGCTCAAGATGATGTTAACCTCTGGGCCTTCATCCAGGAATTTTATCTGTTTGAAATGAATGGGAGGAGCATATGCAAATAAAACATTCTGTTCTCTAATAAACAGCTCAGCTGCTGTTCCTACAGCTCAGAGAGAGATAGAGAGGCCAGTATTTCTGAGGTCTCCATAGCCTCCTACTGTTCACTGGATTAATTCAGAAGACATACCATGAAGCTTGGGCAGAGCTGGGTTCTTGCTTTGACAATTTTGAATGGTAATCTAATGGGGAAATAGAGGATCCAGTGCATGCATTTGTGTGTGTGCGTGTGTGTGTGTGTGCGCGCATGTGTGCATGTGCATGTGCGTGTGTGTGTGTGTGTGTGTGTGTGTGTGTGTGTGTGTGTGTGTGTGTGAGAGAGAGAGAGAGAGAGAGAGAGAGAGAGAGAGAGAGAGAGAGCGTACCTCTTAAGCACGCCATTGTTATGTTCACAGGTGTTCACTGTGAAGTACATCTGGTGCAGTCTGGAGGAGGCTTTATTCAGCCAGGAGGTTCCCTGAGACTCTATTGTGAAGGGTCTGGGTTCACCTTCAGTGACTTCTACATACACTGGCATCGCCAGGCTCCAGGAAAGAGTCTGGAGTGGGTGGGTTTCATTAGAGACAAACCCAGGGGGCATACAACAGAGTATGCTGCATCTGTGAAACAGAGATTCACCATTTCAAGAGATGATTCCAAGAACACTGCCTACCTTCACATGAGCAGTCTGAGAGCTGAGGACTCGGCGATGTATTACTGTGCCAGAGAAAGAGACACAGTGAGTAGATGGTAGTGTGAGCCCAGACAAAAACCTCCCTCAAGTGGTGCCTGCCACCAGTGAATGCTCAGAACCAGCAGGGGGCACTCAGGACTAGCTGTAGCCACAGGTGGGACTGGAAGTGGATTTAAGTTTCATGACTTTTGTATGCTAGAGTCATAAGTTTATGAATTGTTTTTACATTTTTGCTATTACAATGCATTTTTATTATTTGGGTATTCAGTCAAAGAAAAAGTAAGATGCAAAATGCATTGTAAGGGGGAGAATATTCATTTTTATGCACTAGTAATTTCTGATAATGTTAATTTATATGTCTGTATTTATTTACAGAAATCTATCAACATCTACTAAATTACTCAGAGAGTACATAATCTTTATATATGGGTTATATCCATATATCTATAAATAGATATTTAAATAAATATATGAGTAAAGTTATAGACTTTTTAGATAACTTATACAACTATTATTTAAATTTTTCCTAAACAATAAAATTTAATGTTTAAATAAACATAAATTATCTGACTCATACAGAACTTTGTTCTGTGACTTCTCTCTATGCAAGTTTATTTCAAATATTCCACATTAATAGTGCTTTTTACACTGTGAAAATATGAGGTTTTTTTTAGTTTTAAATGTGCCTATGCCATTTAAAGTGACAGATACATTAATAATCTTGATGTAACCATTCCATATTGTACCCATAAACCTCAAGATCACTTTTTAACCCAATAAACATATAACAATTTGCTGAAAGTTTACAATATTTTCTTAACTACCAGTCATATTGGTCTCTTCTCAAGACATGGTCTTCACCTGTCTGTTTTCTAAAACTTCTTAGACCTTCCTGAGTATGTATGTGAATATATATATATATATATATTCTACCTATAGAGAATTCTATATATAGATTATATATATATATGTATGTATACATATATTCTAATCTCCTGAACCTTGCAAAGTCTACATGAGTACTGAGAGTTGGTGTCCACCATGCCAACTAGGCTGAGTCATTTTTCTTGCATTGGGTAACACCACTAGAAACAACATTTACTCACTTCCTGTCCCTGCTGTCCCGACCCAAAAGCTTTAACTTTATGTTCATCACATTCTGGAAGAGAAATTAGAAGATTTTGTAAATAGGTATTTTTTTTTTCTGGAGACTAATGAATAAGTGCAATGTTGTGAGTGTAACCAAACACTTTCTGATTGGATTTAACACCTCATCAACATGCCTGGTACTATAAATCTGGCCAAGAACCCATGGTTGAGTACCTCAGAGTCCCTGGGTTAACTTGTTACTATTATTTTACTAAATGGACATATTATCAAACTGACCTCTAAATTTGCTCTACCTGTAGATTAGTGAAGTTGATGATGGTTAATGTAAAAACTCACAACTGGCAAGCGTGCACATATGCACATGCACACACACACACACACACACACACACACACACACACACACACACACACCATGAAGCAATAATAATTACAGACAAGGTTAAAAATTTGAAAGCGAGGTGGACAAGATTGGAGTCAAAGGAGGCAGGAGTAGAAGTGATGTAAATATATTTCTCATGTATGAAATTCTCAAAAATGTTTAAAAAGATGAGAACATATGTAAATGGTATTGGCCATAGTGTCAGGCCTGCCAGTGGGAGAGGCCTCTAGGACAGACATAACTCCAGTCTGTCAGACTTCTAGTCCAGCCAACATAATAAATACCTAGTTGTAATAGTCTTGGGATACATGCTGAATTCAACTTGAATCACATCAAATGTGGACCTAGATCTTAAGGCTTCATACTGGATATGATGGTCTATACATCAGGGTTTACTACAGTGTGGTATCTTTGGTAGGGAAAAATGTGACATAGATAACCTGGTTGATCAATCCATTATTACCTTATCTATAGCCTGCCAGAATCATAGAATGTATAAGCACATGCAAATAACTGTAGATTACAGAGTAAAGATTGTAGATGCAGGCTAGAAAGAATGGAATAAATGTTGATTGTTTCTGATATGGGCAAGAAAGAGCTAATCACACAAATACACCCATAGCCTGCTCCAGAGAGACCTCTGTGGAAGGAATTCTCCTGACTTGCATTTGTGGTGGAGTCATAATCCATACTGCTCCTGAGTTTGCCATAAATCATCTCCATTAGCTGAGAAGTCTCATGTATCATTAAATAAAATATTAAAATGAAGTACAGTAATGAAACAGGAAATGATAAGGCCTTCAGTCAAATCTGATATGTTGACTGATATTTGAACACAACTCATCTCCTTCCAAAACATAGAAAGAGAGAGAATGAATAGAGAATGCTGGGGAGTTCTGATATGTGACATCCTAAATGTCACTGCAGAATCTGATGTTTATTTTTCTGTTATGGTGATATTTTATTTGTGCTGAAATGTGATTTTATTTGTACGTTAATAAATAAAAGTTCCTGGGGGTCAGAGCTAATAGCAAGCCATAACAGAAGTCTGGCAGTGGTAGCACACACCCTTAATCCCAATCACATGACAGGCAGATCTCTGTGTGTTCAAGGACACCACCAGCATGGAGACACAAGCTTTTAATCTCAATACCAACCATAGAAGACCTGGAGGTCTGTACAGACAGGCAGTGACAAGGAGGTCATGTGGTTGGGTTTACAACCAATGAGAAGGCAGAACAGAAAGTCAATAAAAAGACAGATACACAGGAAGTAGGTCTCTTTCTGAGGGGAAGGACGGCAGCGGCAGCGAGGGGTAAGAAGGCAGTGGTGGCACATGCCTTTAATCCTATCACTTGGGAGGCAGAGATCCAATTGGATCTCTGTGAGTTCAAAGCCACACTGGAAACAGCCAGGCATGGTAACTCATGCCTTTAATCCCAAGAAGTGATGGCAGAAAGCAGAAAGGTATATAAGATGTGAGGACCGGGAACTAGAGCCTGGTTAACCTTTTAGGCTTTTAGCAGTCGTTCAGATGAGAGCCATTCAGGTGAGGACTCAGAAACTTCCAGTCTGAGGAAACAGGATCAGCTGAGGAACTGGTGAGGTGAGGTAGCTGTGGCTTGTTTTGCTTCTCTGATCTTCCAGCATTCACCCCAATACCCAGCTCCAGGTTTGATTTTATTAATAAGACTCTTTAAGATTCCTGCTATATTCTGTGATTCCAGACACATTTGGGTCCTGTAACTCTAATCACAGACTCCTTATAGTAGATGGACTTCAGTGGGTATGAAGCTTGGTAGTCTGACTCCAGCAGGTTCATAGAGTTCAGGGATGATCAGATTTGACCTCATCTAGTTACCTTGGTGCATTGTGTATAACCCTCACTTAGTCATTCTGATACATACCAAGATGTGATCACTTAAGCAACTCCTTTGATAATTAACACAATTTTCTCCAGTCCTTGCAGCTGAACTTCGTGCAAATATTCCTCTAAGAAGAGTCATAAAAACCGTAATATCACAGTAAGCTCTGAAGAAGATAAAATAAACATACTCACTTAAACAAATGTATAAGACACGATGAAGCAATATAAAAAGCCCATGACACAACCATCACCCAAGATCCAGTGCCAAGCAGCCAGTTTCTCTATGAGGGAATGCAAAATTACAGAAATAGCTGAAATGTCTGAGAAAGAATTCAGAGTCACACTATTCAAAAGAACTAACAATCACACAGAAGTGACAGACACGTGAGCTAAGGAAATATATCCAAGATCTTGACCAGACAGCCTCCAAAGTGAATGAAACATTTAATATATTAACAAATTTAATAAGAACATTAAATAAATTTGAGGGAAAAGCTCAAAATATGGAGGAAAAATAGCAAGGAGATTAAAACATTGAAAAATCACTATAAAAATGCTTGAAATGAAGGAGATGATTAGCCAAATAAAACCCACAACGGATATTATCATTAACATACAAGACCATAGTCGAGTGGTGGTGGAGGCAGCGGCGGTGGCTCACACCTTTAATCCCAGCACTCAGAAGGCAGAGGCACGCAGATTTGTGAATTCAAGGCCAGGCTGGTTTACAAAGCGAGTTCCAGGACAGGCTCCAAAGCTACACAGAGAAACCCTGTCTCAAAAAACCAAAAAATAAATAAATAAATAAATAAATAAATAAATAAATAAATAAATAAAATAAAAAATAACATTTCTAAGAAGTCCAAGATATGTTCAAGAAGCCAAACCTAAGAATTCATGGTGTAGAAGAAGAAGCAGAGGAAAAACTGAATAAAAAGACTGACTAATGTAGAGAGATTATAGCAGAGCACTTCCCAAATTATAGAAAGAAGTAGGCTTCCAAATACAAGAGGTATGTAGAACTCCAAATAGACACAACCATAGCATATTACAATCAGGATGTCAAATATTCAAAGTAAAGAAACAATACTAAAAGCATGAAAAAATAACTCACAAAGGCAGAAATATCAGAATTACCCCAGAATTTTGATCAGCAATCATGAAGGCCAGAAGGATATGGAATGCAATTTTTCAAGCTCTGAAAAGAAACAACTCTGAACAAAGAATGCTATATCCTGCTAGACTATCTTTCAATACTGGTGGGAAAAAAGGCATTTCAAGGCATACACAAGTTAAGGCAACTCATGACAGGTAAGTCAGCACTACAGGAAGTCCTTAGGGGATACTCTACGGGAACAAAGATGAAAGGCAGGCTGACTGCAGATAAATGAACTAGACATAAGGAGGAAACAGCCATGCTGCACACAGCAGCTCATCAAACCCTCAACCTAATATGGAAACAAGAAAAGAAATAACCAATATTCCAGGAAAACAGAACACCACCCATCAAATTTATAGTAGATAGCAAACCTCGTTCTACACTAACCTTAAATGTAAATGGCCTCAAACATCACCACAAAAAGATACAAATGGATAAGATTAAAAAGAAATAAGCACCAACTACATTCTGTGTTCAAGAAACAATCAATAAAGATTCCTAAAATGTCAATAGAAAAGGATGAAGAGCAGACTGCCAAGTAACTGGAAAACATAAAAAGGCTGGTAGAGCTCCCCTCATATCAGTCAAAGTAAACATTCAACTAAAATTAACTAAAAGTCATTAAAAGGGGCACTAGGTATTAGAAAAAGAAAGAATTCATCCAGGAGATGTAACAATTATAAACCTTTATGCATAAAGTTTTGGATCCCAAATTTCATGAAACAAATACTAAATGACAAAAGTCCACATAGGTCCTGACACAATAATAATTTGGGACTTCACTATCCCACTCTAAAATTTAGATATATTTTCCAAACTAAAAACAAGAAAATTCAGAGCTGAAATGTACTAAGGAGGAACTGGACTTAACAGACATACAGAGAATATTCCACTTAACATATACAGAATATACTTTTTTTCCTCATATGGAAACTTCTCAAAATCTATCACATCATAGAACACAAGTTAACTCTCAACAAATGTGAAAAATTGAGATAATTCCTTGTCTCCTATCAGAAAATAAAGAATGGTTGGGTCCTCTGCTGGGTGATTGTGGCTTCTGGCTGCTGGGAGCTAAGAGCCTTCTCCTGGCTGTGAACCTTCAGGAAGAGCCTGTCCTGAGAGAAAAGAGAATAAAGGTCTGTAGAAAGTGAAGAGCTATCACTGAAAATCCATCAGTATGTCAGTGGACACATTCAAGAACCAGTTTACCCCGAATCTGAGCTCCTCTAGCACTGAAGACACAGCCTTGCATTACTGTGCAGCAGACAGTGCTGTGTGCTCAGTAACAATCACACTTTGAGGGTGCTCAGGACCAGCAGGGGGAGCTGTAGATCCAAATTTCACCAGGACAGAAAATGTAGTAGGTGCAGAGAAACTTCAGGAGAGGGAGTGAGTCCTAGGAGACTCTAAGGTTTCCTGTCCTAACCTCATAAAAATTCAGAGACCATATAGCACACGTGAAGTAGCTACTGTGACTAGGCTCTGAGTGTGAATACAGTAAAAATTCTTTGTTAAGTAATATTGCATGTATGTTTAGTCATTACATGGAACCTTGTTGGAAGGACAAACATCAAGTGCACATACATATAAGAAGGCTACAAATTTTCAAACATGAGGTGTCAAACATCCAGTCATCATCATCACAACCACCAGCAGCATTTGTAAATCTATCTGTAACTTCTTCCCCCTGAAGGAGGGGCTTTCACAGCTGGAATATATGACTGAGTTGGTGTCTCAGGCTTTGATGTTCTATCCACAGTGTTGAGCACATGCAGCTCTGCTGGGCAAGTGTGGGAGACCTGGTCCCAAGGTGTCAAACACTGCCATGTGGAGCCTAAGCTCAGGGGAAGGAGAGAGGGAGAAGCCAGGCATTATGGCATAGTCTGGTGTAGTGGGAAGCTGTTCCAACTTTCACCTTGAAACACTGCCCCTCGTGTGGCAGCAAGTAACTGCCAAACCTGCCTATGACCTGCCCCTGGGGTCATACAGGAGACCCGTTAAGACCCGAGATGCGAACATGTTCGCTATCTTAGCTCCTCATGCTCCTGGAGGCTGGATTTGCAGACTAAGTCAGAGTTCCCAAGAGAACTATGCTGGAATGTACATCATTTCTTCTGGATCCAGCAATCAACCCCTTATTGGTTGTAAATTACCCCTGAAATAAACCTCTTTTAATTACCAGGTAAACTATGTGGAATTGCCTCGTTAATTGCCGCTCTATCTGGCGCCCACGTGAGAATGAAATCAATAGACCACTCAAACTTCTATCCATATATTCAATCATGCTCACACCAACAAGTCACTGCACAAGTTGCTCAACATTAGGCAAATCATATTCTTTTTAAGTTTTAAAACATCAATAGTGACAAGAACAAAGAAGAGTACATCATGGACAAACGTCTCTGCAGCAGTGAAGAACATCCAAAGGGCCTGTGAACCGCGACTTCCAGCATCCTCTGACCTGTTCTGCTTGGAATCAGAGAGAACTGAGCAAACAAACCATGTTTCTGTCTGCAGTTTGTATTTTCTGCTGTTATTTTCAGGTCGTCAGAAACAGCGGCCAGGTTCAAGATGAAGGCACTGACTACTGAATAAACAGAAATCACAATTTGTGAGGCAGGAAATTGACAGATTAATAAATTCAATAAAATATCACTCTTCCATTCAAAGCTAGCTTTTGTAATTGCCAGTCTGCAGATGGCACATCCTCTTACCCTATACAAGAAGTCTAGAATCTCTGTACCTTTCTTGTGAAAAAAAATATGTACTAAGAGGACACACTTAGGAAGCCTTCTCTGGCCCTGTTACAGTGCATCAAGCAGGTGGCAGAAATATCAACACTTTGAGTTCTTCATGTGTTTTCCATTCAAAAATGCAGGGTATAGAACCCTGGATGAGTGACAGAGTCAGAACCCTTCATGTTAGAGTGAGGGTCTGTCCCCTCAACTTTGCTGCATTGCATTTGACTCACTGGAAGTGTTGTGTACTGAGGACCCTGGTCTTATGTGTTACCTACTCTCTATGGGGTGCAGACATGAACTCCCCAGAGGACTCTTGTGTGCCCCATCATGGACTGGTTCTTCTTGAGTCCTAAATCTTAAATCCACCATCAGAGTCAGCACCTGGAGAGGGAATGCAAATCTCTCCTGGCTCCACCCAACTCTGGGTTGAAAAGTCAAAGCTGGGCCTGGGTACTCACTGGTGTGCAGCCATGGCCAGGCTTGCTTCCTCATTCCTGCTGCTGATTGTCCCTGCATGTGAGTGCCAAGGCTCCCTAAGGGATGAACTTCCATACACTCACCCTGTTCCAAACTTACCCTCTGCTTTCTTTTCCCCACAGATGTCCTGTCCCAGGTTACCCTGAGGGAGTCTGGCCCTGGGCTATTGCAGCCCTCCCAGACTCTCAGTCTGACCTGCTCGTTCTCTGGGTTTTCACTGAGCACTTCTGGTATAGGTGTGGGCTGGATCCGCCAGCTCACAGGGAAGGGTCTGGAGTGGATTGCAAACATTTGGTGGAATGATGATAAGTACTACAACCTATCCCTAAAGAAGCAGCTCACAATCTCCAAGGACACCTCCAACAACCAGGTATTCCTCAAGATCACCAGTGTGGACTCTACAGATACTGCCACATACTACTGTGCTCGGATAGCACAGAGACACAGCCTCAGTTGGCAGCTGTACAATAGTTCAGGCTGGTTCTCAGCTCCATTTCTTCCTAATACAGGACAGGGTGGTGGTGAGTGGGGCACACTTTTTCCTGCTAGCCTCTGGGGTTTCCTCTTGACTTTGAGTTCAGAGCCCTGGTTTCCTGTCATATCTGCTAGGTCCCTTTTCAGATGTTCAGAAATGAGTGTCTGTCTGTGTTTGGCTTTATAAACATGAAGGGTATCTGGTGCCTAAGCCAGGTGGTTCAGAGCTGTGGTTCCACCCAGTTTTTGGTGTCAAATCCCCACAGCAGTTGATTCCAAATTATTGCAATGTTCACCTTCAGTTAACAACTGGATATGGGGAAGATGGGCATCCGTGAATCAGCACACGTATGTTGAGTCTTTGGACATAGGAGTCGCATGGACCCATTACCCCCCAAATATCTCAGGATATTGCCAAGGCTATTGGTTGCTCTCCACAAACTGATGATAAGGCCACATGACTGAGGACAACACTATAGATTTAGTGAATGCAGAGAAGTAGAACTGGAGTCTAACTAGAGGCTTCTTTCTATTGATAATATTCAGAGTGCTGGAAGGTACTTTGCATGCCATTGGAGGAGAAAGGTAATAATCAATCTAGCTACAAATGCTGTGACTCACAATGGTGCCCTGCCTTTGAGACACGCTGGTGCAATGGTGGCTCAAACATTGGTAATGTCATCAAGCATTCTGTGATTTGACTTAAGACCCACTCCCTGAGATGAGACCCATGGCCAACAATCTGAGAGTAGATAGGCCATGGACCTAGAGGAAAATCAAATACTCCTCTTCTGATAATGGAATATAGCAATAAAATGTTTCTTAGTGACATTCCTATAGATACATACAAAAAATGCCAAATCATCCATCATCAGAGGAACTTCTTTCAGTAGATGGGAACTATCTTAGAGAGCCAAAATGGACAACATGTGCAGAGTGAGAGATACTTAGTCCTAAATGGGCTGTCTTCATCAAACTGTCCCCTCAGGACTGAGGGACCCCCCACAGAGGAGGGGGTGGGAAGATTGCAAGAGCCAGAGGTGATGGATGACTCCACAGAAACAGTCTCCTCCAGACACTAGGACTGATGCACATATGAACTCACAAATTCTGTGGAAGCAAGCGCAGGGCTTAGTTAGCCTCAAACCAGATGGGTCCCAGTGCTGAGAGCAGGAAGTGGACTTGGGTTTTTGTTTCTAACCAAGAAGCTCCCTGTTAATTGTACCCACTAACAAAGGAAAAGTTAGTAGTCTTCAGTGAAGTCTCACTGGCTTTAATAATGACATTTTAGGGTGAGTCCCATGCCCAGGGATTGGACAAAACAAAACCAACAGAACGATGTTTTGTAGTGTCTTTGTCTCATTCAGGTATGTTTGGGCATTTTTTATTGTCTTGTCAATATTTATTTGTATATTTTAGATTCTGGTTTTGTGTTCTTGTGATTGTGTGTGTGTTTGATATATATATATATTGAGAGGTGGGGAGAGAGAGAGAGAGAGAGAGAGAGAGAGAGAGAGAGAGAGAGAGAGAGAGAGAGACTATAGAGTTAGTTTTTAGGGAGGTGTAGAGTATCTGGGAGGAGTTGGGAGAGGGAAAAAGTGTAATGCTTAAAAACATTTTTTCAATAATTTGAGCAAATTTGAGCAAAACACACTGGAATCTCCCCACATACATTTGTGTATTGATTGTTACTCAAGAAATCGGAACATTGTGGAGAGAATAAATGTGTTTGTTTCTGGCATGTACATGTACAACCTGGTTGGAGAGTTTTCAAAAAACTTCTGGTCTGTTGCCTGCTGCAAACTGATTTCATGTCTTACTATTTCTGTCTTCCTGCAATGACAATAACCAAGTAGGAATCTATGGAGCTTCCTAAATGTTTCACTGCTCAGATGTTTTCTCAGAACATGTGCAGTGTCATCATAGGAAAGTGCTCCCCTCCAGACATCCTCAAGCACAGACACAGTCAGACAGGTCTTTGTTACTAACAACTTGCTAGTAACTGATCAATCTCATCATTAGCTTGTGCTAGAGGTCCTGGCAGACCTGGATGGGATCCGATATGTTTTTTTTATATATATAGGATGTTCTCTATTTCGGATGATTTCCTGTAATTGTATAAATAATGAAGTTAATTCTGTATTATCAGGAATAAGTTCAGCAGTTTCAGTATGTAAAATAACTCTCTGCATATTGAGAGTCAGTGACTATATTGAGGGGTTCTGGAAGTCCATCAGTACCATAAGAATGACATACAGTTCTGCCTTTTGTACAGAGTTGTATGGACTTTGAAGATCCATATACAATGAAATTGGCTTTTGTCATACAACGTGAGGAAGGACCCATTCCGTCATCTTTATAGCTTCTATTCTCTTGCTTTTGGGAAAATGGTTGTTAATCTCTCCCAAAAAGTCACTTCAGGTTCTCTGCCAGTATTTTTCCAAGGTGAGGAAATTTCCTTATTAGTTAAAGATCCTGCACTTTCTGCTGGATACCTTTTATGTTCTTCTGAAACATATGATTCCATAGAACTATTTATCAGTTAATGATAATCTTTCTTCCTTATAAAGTGTCTGAGTAGTGACAACTTCACCCTGGAGAGTTATTGTTCTATCCATTAAGTACTCATATTTATTATCAATAAAATCAAACCTGGACATACATTTATTATTAATGGACTAAAGTTCTTGTAATAAGTTAGCAGATTCCAAACTAAGGAGCCTGTTATGTAAATCTTTATTGCTACTTTGTAAATCCTGGTTGGCAGATTCCAGAGAAAGAATCTTTTTATGTAAGCTTTCATTGCTATATTGTAAAGCCTGTATCAGTCGCAATAATGACTCATTTTGATATTATTGTTAAACCAGTATTTGAGTGCTGTGTGAATTATTATGGTAAATGTCAAAATGGTACAGGCCAGATATGCCTTAGGAAGGTTGTATATTTCCAGTAAAATGTCATTCATCAATAGGCAAAATAGTTTTTAAATTCTTGTGAAGTAATATTTTTTGCTATATTATAAGAAATATTCAAAATTTGTTAATCAGTTTCAAGGTGTAATATTATCAAATAGTCTTACCTGTGTAGCTGGAGTTTTCTCCAGTCCCACCTGGGCCCACAGCCACTGAGACCCAAATAAACACACAGACCCTTATATTGTTTAAACTGTTTGGTCTAATGGCTCAGGCGTCTTGCTATCTAGTTCTTATATTTTAAATTAACCTATTTCTATTAATCTATAAGTTGCCATATGGCTTGTGGCTTACTGGTACTTTACATCTTACTTCTCATGGCGGGGGTGACTGGCAGTGTCTCCTGACTCAGGCTTCCCCTTCCCAGCATTCTTCTCTCTTTTTGTCCTGCCTATACTTCCTGCCTGGCCCCTGGACAATCAGCACTTCATTTATTAACCAAACACAAGTGTCACAAGTGTAGCGTTAAAGAAGGTCCTGCTGAAGACTGGCTGGGTCAGCTGCAGGTGAGAGCAGAGTGTCCTGTGTGCACGTGTGGAGAAGTGGAGGCAGCAGCGTGGTGACTGCAGATCTCCCCATGTCTCCCCGGAGCTTCAGGGTCAAAGCTGGAACAGCCACCTACTACAGTCACCCTGAAGACAGTTTATCTCATACTAGAATGAGTCCCTCAACTGAAACCTAAGAGCTGACCACCTCGTCTCCTTGAGAGGCAATTTCAAGGCTCTTCATCCAGTCTCAACCGCAGTCGATAGAGAGCCATGTCCAGGACTGGAGAGATGGTCAGAACAGGGTCCCAGAGTGGAGGCTCTACATTTCTCTCCACGTTTCTGTAGTGACAGACTTGGTTCCTTCATTCCTTTGAAAGTACTATCCTGCTGGATTTGAGGGCTACAAGAAACACAGCCCTCAGCAAACAAACAAACAAACAAAAAATACAAACTCAAATGTTCAAGAATTTAAAAGTATTTTTACAGAAGAGTAATATTGCAAAGAATTTACATTCTTTAGCACATTTTTCTCAGTATTGCATATCATACAGCAGTAATTATGCAATCATAACACATATTGCAATATCTAAACCAATTTATTCAATTTAATATCCAAGTTCAACATTCATAAAACACTGTTAATCCCTTTGAAATTATGAAAATTTTATTTTAATATTTTATGTAAAGCAAATAAGACAGAGGGATGTATATGGGCAAAAGTACAGTGAAATAAGACTATTTGAATTATATCACAAATACATAATGAAGACTGTTGGGTATGGGTTCCATCTCATGGAGCAGTCCTTAAGCCAAATCAGATATTTGTTGGTTAGTCCCACAATCTTTGTGCCATCATTGCCGTAGCATATTGTGCAGGTAGGGCAGATGGTAGATCTAATGATTTGTGGCTGGATTGTTGTTTACATTTCTCTTTTGGTAGCCTAGAAAGAACCTTCCAGTGCCAAAGACACATTAATGCAGGGGTGAAGGTTCTATGTAGGCATCAGCTCAACCTATCCATGTTCAAAGAGTCGTGTGAGTGTTAGTCTTCAGCAATGTGGCCTCCCCAAAGACCTTTAGTAAAATCAAATATTATTGGTTTAAAAAAACAAAATAACAGTAAAATGACTCCTAATGACACTAATGATATTTTACTACAGTCGTAGATCAGTGCCTTATTCAGCCATCAGCAGAGAACCTTCTTCATGCAGCAGATTGGAACAAAAATCGAGACCCCACAGCTAGACATTAAGCAGAGAGACCTTGAAACACACAGCTATAAAGAGGATGCCTCTATAAAAT